CTTACAAAGAAGGGGAAGAAGGAACTTCTAAAAGACATAGTTAGAGACTATACATCTGTAACCTAAGCCCATTCTTCCATGTTTAGTGCTTGTTTTTTTGGTGTGATATGGATAGTCAAGAGATAGATATCATACCAGTCATATCCTCTCTACCGAGTATCTTACAAAGACAATTCTGCGATGAAGAACCGCATGTACCACAAAGACGATGGAGGATACCTAGTAACAAGTCGCTAGTAATTGTGTTTGAGGTAGAAACTGCCTATGATAATCTTCCCAAAGGAATGTTTGCAAGGCATTTTCAGAATGAAGACACAGAAGTTCATGCCTGGTCGAAAATCGAAGGCGTAAGACACTATCGTTGATTACAAGGACCAATGAACTACTTGTCGTATGAACAATAATTAGATCGTATTGCAAATACTATGCCACAAATTTTCAACTTCTTACATTGGTATTGACTTACAATAGGAGTGCTTCTCGGAGACCTTGAAGCTTAAGGGGGGGTGGGAGAGGTGATGTCAAGAACATACATTAAGAAGTTGTAGAAGTTTCTAGAAGGTTCTAGAGAAGCTTTGTAGTTTATAGAAGCTACTTGAGAAGTTTTCAAGCTCGTGGAAGCTGCTTGAGAAGCTTCTTGATTTGTAGTATATATATGAGCCAAGACTGAGAGGATCTTCAGTCTCGACAACACACCTCTTGGAGCTCTAGCTCACCTCTCTAGTGTTATTCTTGTATTCATCTGATTAATCTAGTTCTTGTCGATTCTTCTTGAGCTTCTTATTTAGATTTCTAGTCAGTATTCTAAATTCGTGACATAAAGTGAGTTGATTCATTGTAAGCATTAACTCCCTCAATTATTCTTGCATTTGTACCATTGCATGTTTCATTTCAAGAAGCTCTGCCATGATAATACTTGAAAAATAAATGCCTATTATTACTCAAGATAAGTAGAAGAGGAGACTTGAGGACAAAGATGATATTAAGAACAATATTAGTTTAGAAGAGGGTAATCCAAAACTTCTAATATGCTTATGTCTTATCAAAAAAAATAGATAATCCACTTTTATTCAAGAGAAGATAAATCTCTAATATTATAAGAATACCCTTGTCAATTTATCAAGGACATGAACTAAAAGAAGATACATAAACTTGAAAAATCTATGTCAAAAGAAAAGTAAAAAAATAGAAATAAAGTAGTATGTATATTAAATGGAAACTAGAATAGCTATTGCTAAATGATAAGGAAACTAAAGACTCTTAAATCTAGACTAGAAGCAAGAAAGGAGTTGAGAAGAATGAAGATGGCTTCATTCTTGTTTTTATATATACTATCTAATTAAGAGCTACGTAACAATGTTCTATAAGACCTCTAATATATATTGACTTTGCAGGATATAGGCCTTAGCTTATAAGGCAAGTTTTCTATGTATGGACCACATAATTAGCTTATTCTTCAAGCTACCAAAATGTGTGGCACATGGCCAACTTGTTGACTACGTTTTTAATCTAAAAAGTCAATTAAAGACACCTATAAAATCAAAGCAGCATCTATAAAGCTCCTAAAAAGCTTTTATAGAGGATATTATGGAATTTACCTACTATTATCTACTATTATCTAAATCATATAAGTAATTATTGGTTTACATGTATATGCCTGTGACAAAACGCCAATGAAGATGGCAGTAAAAATATGTTGATTGTACATATTATTCAAATAGAATTTTATTCATATTAATTATTTTTATTATATAATAAGTATTGAATTGTCTTACATGGCAAAAAGTTACTATAAGAATTATTGTAGATGCTTGAAAAGGAAAAAAATAAAATTAGTTGAAATACTTCAATATGAATTAAGATATATTACATGCAAATGTATATCAAAGACTAGCAAATATTTTTGGAAATGTGTAAAAACCAAAAAGTTGATATGCAAAATCTAAAATAGAAGATAATTCTTTTGTCATTTCATATTGAAAGTTCAAAAAATTTATTTGAGATTTTTTAAGATTCTATAGCCATTGATATTTTTAATATCCAGATATATTTGGTACAATGATTATAAATTTGTTGTCGCAAGAAATCTCAAGTACATTATTTTTAGGAAAAAAACCAAAGAATTATCTTGAGTTAATAGGAAGAATATTTAAACTTACGCATTGTATATTAATTGAAGATATTTATAAAGATTACATTTTAGAACATGCACTTACAAGAGTGCATACTATTGAGTTTTTGATAAGATGTCTTTTGTATATGTATTTTTTTTTTTGAACAAAATAGTAGAGTAGAAGATTTGATCAATATTGATAAGATTGTTTATAAGGAATTTTCTATTAAAGAAAAAGATCTATTGTTATATAAGACAATTAGCACTTGTATGGTTTATGGTTTATGTGGACCTTGAAATATGCAAGCTCTATGCATGAAAGGTGGAATATGTCAAGAAAAATATCCAAAAGAATATTGAAAAGTAAAATCAATTGATGTTAATGGCTACTTTTAATATTATAGAAAGAATGATGGAAGAACTTTCAACATTGGTAATTATATTGTAGACAATCAAGATGTTATTCCATATAATTTTATTCTTAGTAATAAATATAATTTTTATATCAATATTGAGGTTTATACTTTAATTCATGTAATAAAATTTATTCATAAATATATCTATAAAAGTAATAATAAAAATTAGAAAAAAAGAAGATGAGATCAAGGAATATATTGATATATAGTATATTAGAGTTTTAGAGGCAATATGGCATTTATTTAGAATAAAAATGTATGAAGAAGTTTCAAATGTGGTTTGATTGATATAGAATATTCTTGGAATATACCAAGTAATTTTTTATCCAAGTAATGATACAAAAAAATTCCTAGCTTATAGAAAGTGGCAAAAAATAATTTAGACAATATTTTTTGAAATGTATGAATTTATAGAGATTATTTAGTAATATAAGTATCAAGAATTTTTACAACATTTAAAGTAGAAGAAGACTTCAAAGTAGTAGATAGTAATAGTACATGGATTTGTAATTGAATGATTATATTTTATTAATTTTACTATCAAAAATAGATTCTATGTTTGGCTTCTTCTAACAGTGGTATATGGACCATGTTCATTTAAAGATTTGTATATTGTAATTGGAGTATTGCAACCAAATTTTAAGAGTACATGCTTATAAATGAGATTTTTAGAGAATGAAAAAAAAAATAGAATCAATGCTTGGAAGTAGCTTCTACAATGAAAATGGAGAAGCAATTAAGAACATTGTTTACTATTATTCTTCTTCAATATTTACCTATACATCAAAAAGAACTATAGAATAAGTTTAAAGAAAGTTTTTATGATGATATAGGTTATCAATTGATTCAAAATTATAAAATTATGGGATATTAGATTATATAGTATATTTCTTTAATGAAATTCTTTAAAAATCAAGCAAAACACTAGAAAATTTTCTATTGATGATGTAGAAAGAAATTGGAACAAAAATACTACAATTCAAATGTTTATGGAATATAGGGCATAGAATCATCACAAGCTAAATCAAATAGTAGAAAAATGTATTCAAAAGTTGAATAGTGAACAAATCACTATATATTTGTATATCTTTGCTTCAAAGAAAAAAAATCTTAAAAAATTATATTTTATAGGAAGACTAGCAGGAAGTAAAATAAAAAAAATTGTATATAATACAATAACAATGAAGTTCCAAAATGATAGATAAATTATTTTGTAAGTTGATTCTTTTAGGGTTGCAACACAAATTTTAAGTGGTAGACGGGTTGTACACTCTATATTTAAAATTTTGCTCCATCTTCATAAAGATTTATTTTATAATATTACAAAGAACACATCATATATAAATGTATAAAAATAAATTATTCTTATCATTTGGAATAAGATACCAATACAACATTATTATTATGTTGACGTAATTGATAAACTCTTAAAAACATAAATAGCACTAATTAGTTATTTGGCCAAATTTTTGTAGTCTTTGAGAGAGATTTTGGCAAATTCTTCTTGTTGTCATTGAAGGCTCAAGAGAAGTGATTGTTGATGCTTCTTTGCAATAATCAAAGATTTGGTCTAATATTTAAGTCTACAAGTTGATCAAAATATGTATCTAGAAGGTGTATTTGATGAGAATCAATTATTTGCTTAAGAGCTCTTAAAGATATACATTATACAAGATTGTTTTTTTTAAGAGTTTATTTTTATTTTTATTTTTATTTAATATATTTCTATAATATATCTAAGAATGGTTTCCATTTACAGATTAGAAATGGATCAAAAATTTTAGATCCATTGAAAAGTACAATGATTCTTCTATACTGAGTAAAAGTAGATTTAATATTAAAAGATTTGATTCAAGTTGTCTATTCAAGATCTAATGAAAATAAGACACTTGGAGATGAATATTTCATTGACATGTCTATTTTATCTACACAAAGTTATGATGTTGATGCTTTAAACAAGCATGTAATGAAAAAAAATTCTAAAATTTTATATATTTATTTTAGTATAAATATAGTAATTATAGAAGACAATGCCAATAATGGTAATTATTATCCAACTAAGTATCTCAGTAGCTTAAGTCTATGTAAATTGCTCCAATCAATGTGTCCAATGCCTCTTCAAAAAAGCTTACCATTGTAGCAAATGGAACGAAATATGTGATGTGGAAAAACCAACATACTGTGTTACAACCAGCATAAAAACGTGGCCAATGACACGGGTTTCAACTAGTATATATATTCACATATATACATAAAATAAAATACACACAGGTATTTCCAACTTCCGTCAACAAGACAAAGAGCGCCCCCCGGTCGTGGGCTCCAAACTTCGGGGATGTGACGGGCGGGACCCCAAAGCCGTCCTCGGGAAGGGGGGAGGGCAAGCAGGGGCTGATGGCCGTGGCTGCATTTGAACCTGGGAGCCCTCCCCAACGCAGGGAGGCGGGCCTCCCTGGGCTCCCCCCCCCCCCCCCCCCCATTTTCCATTTGCTCCCTCCCCTACACAAGCTGCGTTTTGAATTTCTGTCAAGGGGCTTGTAATCGAAGTTTCCACTTACACCCTCACACACAAACAAACGAGGTCTTCCTCGTCCTGGTGCAGCAATAATGTAGCCTCTTCTTGTGTGTGATTGAGTCGAGTTTGTGGCTCAATCAGGAGAGGAAGCCATTGCCACACGAGATCGCAACACTTGTACAGCTTTTTAGGGTTCGCTGCTGATCCCTGCATCCCAGACGGAGACGGAGGAGGAGGAGAAGAACTGCAGATTCTCGCTTGGTTCACTGAAGTTGGGGTTGAAGGTTTTTCGTCCTTTGGATGAAGGTCAAGGTGTTGGAGAAGTGGTGCTTTGACGTGCGACTTGTCTGAGATAGTCTGTGGTTCTGGAACGGCGTTGGTAAGGGGTTATGGGATTTTAGAATGATAGGTTCGTCCCCATGACTTGAGCGTGGATAAGAGGTTTTATTGAGCTCGATGCAAGGACGGGGCTTTTGACGTGTAATGAGAGCTCTTGCACGTGTGGGATTAGGAGTGTGGTGATGTTTTTCTCACTTTTGTGGTGATGGGTATGTAGTGAGCATTTTTTTTCGGAATTGAAGAGCAGCTCATTCGACTGGTTAGGCTTAGGATTCTCGGGATAGACATGTGTTAGTGGGTTGCAGGAATTCGACGTTCTACGAAAATTTCATCGATGGCGGGGATGTTCCAAACGCCGATGTTCAACCAGCAGCCAGCACAGCAGATGCAAGCACAACAAGGCGGTGGCACACAGATTCATTTGTTGACCAATGACAAGATGCCTGTGTCATACCAAACCAAATGGGCTGATATTAGTCCTGAGTCGCAACAACTCCTGCTCACGATTGAGTAAGTGCAGTCGCAGGTTTTCTGTCTTTAACGGTTGCCTTAATACCTCTGCTGTGAAACCTATCGTCTAATCTTGCCCGCGCTCGGTTTGCACATATTTATCTTTGCTGCTGTATCTTCATAGTCAGAAATGAAACCTTGGATGTGTCCAGAGTATAATTGTACTAATGCCGTTGCCGTGGTGGATGTGTATGTTTTAAAGCGAATTGATTCTGTTATTGGCTGATAATGCGTTTTGAATTGTTAACTTTGTCCCTTTTCTAAGTTGAAGTGAAAATGACACTTCTCATAATTATGTCGTTTTACGAAATCAAAATTAGGTTAACAAGTGCATTAGAAACTCAAGAGTATTTAATTGGGTTCTCTACTAGGTAGGTTATGAACTTTGTATCTTCTCCTGAGCAACTTTGATCGTGTGCCCACATGACCCTGATTGATGATCACGTCAAGGTCTGACAATTCGTTTTCTTTTGCAGAGAAAGAGTGCGAGAGTACAGGGAAGAGAGCCGACGGCTGGAGCAAAGAGAGCAAAATACGGATTCGAGTGTCCTCCACAAGAGCTTCGAGTATGATGCTGCTCGAATTTTACAGGTAATCCTGTCTATTTACATATGTAAGGAGGATGAAGATCATAGAAAAGTCAATTAACTATGACGAGTGGAAGTGAAAAATACCAATTCAATTATCTAAACCAGTTTTTTTCAATGGTTTGTTGATGATATTGAATGCAGCTCTTCTGACTTGATCCTTTTAGTGCAGGAATTATCTGCAGTAGGAGGAGCCATAGAGAGGGAAACAGCCGGAGTTCGAGAAAATCAAGCTGATGCTAGTTTACAACTGTTACGACATGCTGAAATGGCAGTCCGATCGTTTCTAAGTTTGCGACCACGTTTCATCGCTGCTCAGGCTCAGCTTTATGACTTCTACAGTGGTATGCCAGCAAGACCAAGTCCTTTTTTACAGCAAACGGTTATCAGGTATACTAATGCTTCTGCTACTGAGCGACACACTATCGTTACTGCAAATATAGTTTGATTGGATAACGTTGGAACGACAGCGCACTCTAAATCAGTTCTTTGTTGAAGCTAGTACTTCACTGCATTTTAATCACCCCCATCTGAGCATAGAGTTTTCTATTAAAGTTAAAATCAGTAAAAACAATTTCCGAATGATTGAATATATCCGTTTTATTGCGCTGTTGGCTTTGCCTTTTTCTAGAGTTCGGTTTAGTCGGCAGTTTTTTTTCGCGAACACGAACGCTCAGCATGCCCTCGTCTGATACATCTGAATTCCCTTTTCCAGGTTTGAAAACCAAATGGCTGAATACAGGCAGCGCATCGAAGAGATGGAGCGGTTATTACTTGTGAACACTGAGAAGGAAAACAGTTATGGCTCTCAGCTGTCGTTGTTGCAGTCTCTCCCTTCTGTCATGACCAACGTCCACGACTTCTTCATCCATGTTGCTGCTGAGGTATGTATGTTAAGGGACTGCTGTCACCTTACTGTTGCATCGTATGTTTTTCTCGAGGATTGTATCATCTAAGCTGAAATTCAACAGAGAGTCTTGGTTGATTCCAGGTCGAGGAATTGCACCAACACACTGGTGCAATGCGAACTGCTTTCCTCCAAGAGAGGCACCGACGTGGTGATGATAGTGATCCATTCGTAGAAGCTGAGCGTCGGGCAATTGCTCAGCGAGATGCAGCTGCCAAACGTATTGTACATCCAACCCTCCATCTGCCTGCTCCCCAGACAGTCACTCCAACTGCTCCAGTAGGCACTACGTCGACACCCGGAATGTTTGGAGGAACGCAACCAGGTATATTTCAAATCCAATCTTCGACTCCTGTGGCATCTCAGTCACTTTTTGGATCAACTCCTACTCCCAGTACAAACCTTTTTGGATCAACCACTCCTTCTACGAACTTGTTTGGTTCAACTACTCCCAACCTATTTAGTTCTACTCTTACTACGACTGGGGGATCATCGTCTTCGTTGTTTGGGAGCACATTGGGCTCAACTACTCCTCAAGGTGAGTTTGAATGCTTAACTTCATTACTGTACTAACAGCTTGTGTTCTATGAGCGAGTTGGTGTGCTGACATCTCAGCGTTTTTTTTTTTTTTTTTGGCTCTCTAAAATTTTACTAATATATGATATCTGTAACTTGCAGGGTCTACAGCTGCCGCGTCCGGAGGGTTGTTTGGTACTCAGACACCAGCTCCCTCCACTAATTTATTTGGCTCTCAAGCCCCTGCCAGTTCAGGTTTGCTTCTTAAGATTATGACCTCAGCGTCGTTTTTCAAGAGCCTTCATGCTGTGTTTCACAAGCTATTGTTGAGTTTCCTTGGCAACAGTAGAATAGATACTACTTATTTTTTCAACTTGGTATGAAATTGTGTATATCTCATCAAGTGCGTAGTGGGTTATTCAGTTTCTCTTCTCCACTAATGCTTTAAACTATATTTCTTCAGGAGGTATATTTGGATCGACACCAACCCCTGCAGCAGGGGGTTTGTTTGGCCAACAGACGCCTGCTGCTTCAGGGGGTCTGTTCGGCCAGCAAACTCCGGCACCATCTGGTGGTTTATTTGGTACACAAACTCCTGCAGCTTCCGGTGGCTTGTTTGGCCAGTCGACTCCAGCGGCGTCTGGTGGCTTATTTGGCACACAAACTCCAGCTGCAACTGGAGGCGTGTTCGGTGCTGCTTCTTCCACACCTTCACCTTTCAGCACTCCTGCACCCTCTGCCTTCGGTAAAACCTCAAATGCCTCGTTGGCTGGGCAGAGAACCATTTGCGTTTTTTTCTAAATTTTATCTTATTTCACTCAACATTACGACTTCTTGATAGCAACAGTATGCTTATTCCATTCTGGGCACAAAGCAGCTACTGAAGGTTGGTTGTTTTCGTGTGTTCCTGGTCTGGTATTCACAGGTTCATTACTCACGACACCCTCGGCAGGAACAGTAAGTTTTTTTGCACGACATTCTAGAATCCTCTTCATGAAATTCATGTTCTTCATTTGCGAGATTCTACTATGAAATCATGACCATTGACAATACCTTCGCTGGGTGTTTTTCAGACTACGACAGCCCCAAAACCTAAGCCACGTGGCACACGTCGAAAGTAAACAATTCTTGTGTCTTACTTTGCAACAAATTTTTCTGCAGTAGTGGTGTCTGCAGTAAGTTATATCTGCACTGGAATATCACGTGATGTGTAGAATGGTTTAGGCATTTTATCCATATGCAAGCGCATCATCATTCTGAACAGTTCAACTTGGAGGAAAGGCTCCACTAGATTGTTTACATCTGAAATCTACTTTAACCTTTGTTGGAGTCCTGGAGAAGACCAAATAGAAGATGTGTCTGAAGGTTCTATAATTGTATCTTTCTTTTTATAACTGACAGTCCACAGGTTGTATTCTGCAACGAAAGTTATTTTGGATTTATTCGCAAAGAGAAAAGTTTTCAACCTGGGTTATACCCGATTTGTAGTTCACGAGCATATTCTTTTGGTTGAATCTTGTATACGAAGTCTTGTGGGTTAAATGGTGTTTATATACTATCAGTTTACACATTAACGAGGGGGTGATATGATGTATGTGATAAGTGCATTTCTTCAGATGCCTGTTTCTACACCTTTTTTGCAGGATAGCTTGCTTTGACTTAGATTGAACACTAAGTCTTTGTTACGTACCAACCATTTACACAAAACGCGGGATACATGTAGTGATTATGAATTAAACGTCTTACCTACTGCACACATATTCTCTCTACGATTTTGAGTAAATTTCACCGAGTTATTTCTATGAGAACTTTGAGCCAAGTATTGAATTGGAATTTGCAGATCAACCCACATCCATATTTTATTATCACGACAACAACTCACTGCTACAATGTCAAAGATGAAAGTGCCGAACTCATTGCTACAATATCCAAGGGTGCATTCGCTGAACTGCTCACTAATATTATGCTCAGCACTGCTTTGCTCATCCTGTGAGTGTAGGCGGATTCTAAGACCTAGATGGTACCCACCAATTACCCAGTATGTACTCCTTCGGCAATAGCGGAGCGGGTTTCCACTGCAGATTTCTCACTCGACATCTAGCTACGAAATGTCAAATAAATTGAAGATCGCTTCTTGTGCACTGTGCATTAACTAATACAGAGACATGTTGTGCCGACAGAAAACCATGCAATAATTGCTTGCACAGTACTCATTGCCCAATAAAGCGACTTCCACCCGATTGTCTCTCTATAAGTGGCTTATACGCTGGTCTCCAAAACTTACTGTCAAAAATTTGTACAGCTGCTCCGGCTTATACATCCTCAGTCAGCTCAGTCGTCGTGCTTCCGCAAGTACGGATCTATAGATTATTGAACCGTGACGCACTTAACTTCCACATCCGGTGTGCCGCACTCAGTTTCAGTGTAAGATGGTAAAGAATCCACTACGGATCTGTCGTCCACGTCCAGGACTTGAATAGGTTGGTTGGCATCTACTCCGTCCGACCGCACAGCAACTTCTACTTCATTGGCATTAACATCACCAGTAGTAGTGGATCCAACTGCTGCTTCAATGGATGGAGTAGAATCCAGTCTTTCCACTTGATCGATTGCCAAGAGATTTTCAGCTGAGGTGACCAGGGAGTGAATCGGTAGCACGGATGGATCTCTCAGGTACGATGGAATGAACTCTTCTGCGTCTGGATTCATCTTCTTCGGTCGCGTTGGTGTAGGAGATGGAACCTTACGTAGAGGGGAATGAGCCTCATCTAAGGGAGCATTTGGAAGAAAATGCGGCATGAAGTGGGGAATCATGCCATGCATGATACCCATGTGTGGCAACGGATCGGCGTAGTACAAAGGGAGGGGTGCCAAGGTTGGATGGGGCACCTTGCAAATGGGAGTAACTGCCACGGTAGCCTGGACGTGAACGGGTGGAACGGCAGTCTGAGGGCAAAGACCACCAACTGGTGGACTTCTGCCATCCTTAAATGGGGTCACAGCGACAGCTCTGGCCTGTAACAAAGGCTTGCTCGTTATGACATCATTCGGGTTGAAAGGTGGAGCTGCGGCTGATAGTCTCTTCGCTGCAGCAGCAGGTGAATCATCATCACTTCCAGGGGATGCCACATCGTTTCTATCTAAAATGTCCGTAGTTTCTTCAGAACAACTTTCAGTAGGGTTTGTGGCGGGAACAGTCTTTTGTGCTTCAATGGCTTCGACTGTTTTGTACTCAAGCTGTTCATCTCCATCTGGAGTTTCTGACACCGATTTGACACTAAGTTCACTTGAGTCCTGAGGAGAAGTATCAAATGATTGAGCAGGAGGTGAAGGCTCGACGGCTTCAATAATACGTTCCTCCGGCTCAACCTCCGCCTCTGCAGATGATGGAATAGAGGGAGCAGATGAAGTAATCATCTCTGGAACATCGTCCTTATTATCGACGTCTTCCTCAGCGGTAGACTCCACCAAAGAAGCCTCTGCTGAGGAAGCATCCACAGAAGTAGCCTCTATCGATTTCGTTTCAGATGAACCAGGTTGTGCAACATCAGTCTGAGGTGAAGCATCCGAAACAGCTGAAGCCTCCAACGCTGAGCGTAGTTGCAACATAGATCCTGGAGAAGTGAGAGCAACCTCTTTGTAGGAAAAGGAACCTTTTCCAGGAACTACCTTAGAAAACTTGATCGAAGACTGGCGAACAGGAAGTTGAGACACTACGGCCTCATGGTTTTCACCCTCGGTTTCCTTTTTCTCGGTGTTAGGTTCAAGTACTACAGGCGCAGTGTCTACCACAGGAGCTATCTTAGTTGAAGGAACAACTTGAGAGGGGGCTGCAGGTGTCCTCCTCACAGGTCCACTCATCTCTTTCGAAGAAGGTTTCTCAGAGTTTCCTGTAACACCTGTATGTACCTGCAAATTTTCATTGCTGTAGTTGTTCGCCTTAGGTCCGCTGCTTCTCCCAGCACGGCTATAATCCCCTCCACCAGCATTGCCTGCACCTCGAGATCTATGATAACTAGATAAGCCTTTGTGGGATGAATCTTGACCTGAATACCCGTGAACGGGTCTCCTCTTGTTGGCTACGGACCTAGCCCTGGGAACGGCTTCCTGCCAGCCTTCTTCATCATCTAGAGTTATTAACCTGTCAACTCGAAGAGCTTCAGCATCGTTGGCTGGTGAAGGAGAAGGCACGATCTGCCCACGATCCAAATCAACTTCCAGTGAAACAGACTTCTTCGCATCCGCTGTAGGTTCAATATCTACTGCAGTCACTGGGACATCACTCTCAATGGAGCCCTCGTCGGAAGTCACAATTTGAGATGCTGAATCAAGACCTGTCGGTGCACCTGGCTCTTTTCCCTGCAGCTGATAGCATTTCGGTGGTCAGGGGGAAAAAATCGAAACATGAAACCAGTCCTCCAGAAATCCTTCCTTCCAGTCAAGCGATAGACTCGTGGGAGGATCAAAGAACAACACGGCGAGACCACGTAGACTACAATCTAAAAAACGCTTGAATAGAAACACACAGAAAACCTATCTCCTGCATCGATCACGTTGTGAAGGCCATCTAGTGTCCTTTGAAATAACACGAGAAGTATCCAGTTGAACGATGAAGTGAGTCAACCATCTTAAGTTTTGACGAATTCTTGAGATGGGAAAGAGTTCCAAATAATAGTGGTGTATTGTACCTTAGCTTTCCGCGCCTTCCGCTTGAGGGCATCTTTGTCTTTCTGCTCAGCTTCGTTGATGTATTCCAAAAGATCCGAGACACTACAGGAACGAGACCTTGCTAGCATTAGGTTTGAGCAAGCATACTGCTTGGTAATGAGCATTACCTATATTTTGTACTTCAACACAGCAAAGAATCTCTATGAAATACAACTTTGTAGGAATTCCCATCGTTTCACAAATCTAGTGAGACAGGTAGACCGGCAATAAATGCCCCAACAACACGCATATCATTGACCTTTTTCCTTCTAATTCTCGTAAATTGCAAGACTATTCAAAGTGACGTGAATGCGGAAATCACCTTAGGTGACCTTTGCTAGCAATTGACGCATCAGGCTTTGGCATTCCCATTCGGGCAGCTTCCTGCTGTTCTAGCGCTTTAGAATCGAAGTACTCTAGCCAGGCGGCTGCATCCTGTGTGATCAGCACAAACGACAAGTTCAAAAAAACGGACTAATGGATGACACAAAATCTTACTGACAGAACTCACCGTGATATTTCATTATTCTCATAAACAGTAGTGATAAAAAATAATTCAAACTTCTATTTTCATGTGTTAAATGACGAAAAACACATACACTATGTATCACACTAAAGGAAAGCGGATGAACCTGTGTTCGAAGGTCATCAGATCCAAGTTTAGTTTGCAAAATCTGTAAGGTAGTTTGCTCATGCTGAACACTGAGGGAGTAAGCCTCCATAAGTGAAAGCGCAATTGCAATTGCGTGGTAACTTGCAGCAGTCTGCAACAGAAGTACTCAATTAGTAAATTTGCAGTGATAGGGTAAGTGTTAAAGATGAAACGACTTGTACTCGAAAAAAATTCAACAACTAGTGTTACAACGAACCTGAATGTGGTCAGCTCCCAGAAGCCGCTGATTGCACTTCAGAGCCTCATGTAAATAACGAAGAGCCACATGGATATTTCCTAGACCCTCTTCCATCATGGCTACATTGATATATGTCGCAGCAGTATTTGGGTGAGAAGGACCGCATATTAAATGTAGCAAGTAGAGAGCTCTATTAACATATCTGCATTCCAACAAAATAAAAATTGAGCGGCAGTCCTTCCCGTATAATTCCAGTTCAAAAATCGGAACAACTAATCATTAACGATCTCAAAGACACTCTGATCTTAGACCATTCTCCAAAAAGAAACCTGTGCTTGGGTATTAGAACTTACTTAAGTGCCAACTCGGTGTGTTGAAGACGATAGTAAAATACTGCCAGATCACCATAACTTTTCATGGTATCTGGGTGGTCAAGTCCAAGTTCTCGCTCATTAATGTCCAACGCCTTCTGTTGATAAATTGTTGCCTGATTAAAGTCACCTGTATGATATAGCACTACTGCCAATAGACTATATGCACCAGCAGTCATTCGGTGATAAGGTCCACAAACAGCCACCAACTTCGCTAAGGCCTTTGTTCCATAAGCCACAGCATCATCCAGTTTCCCCTTATCAAGCGCTGCCTTAGATGATTCCAGCAGTGTCCTACCGTCTGCAGAAGAGCAGGCAACCTGCTTATAGACTGGAACCATGCTGATAATGTCGGCCTTCTTAAAAGGCGTTGCGCAATCGAAAGCGTAGTCACGAGGCGCAACTTCAATTCCCACCTTGTGACACAAGCCTCGAAGAACAGCATACTTTCGAATATCCGCATTCGCTTGACTTTGGTCAAGTTTCCAACCAAAGCGCTTGCTCACGAATATCTTCACCCATTGAGAAACAGCAGAGGTTCTATCCTCTGACGCAGACCCAAGCATGAAGTTTAGGGCTTCGGCAATATTTGCTGACAAATCAGATGTAGATTTCGTCGCGGCCACAAGGGCCTGCAACACATGCTTGTATGCACGAACCACCATTTCATGCACACAAAGAGCTTGGACATGTGGCAATTTAACAGCCAGTTCCGCCTGCAAAAATTGATGACAACTTCAAATTTATACAGCGATTTTCACAAGTTGAGTTATGGTTTAAGTCTACTGGCAACATTGGAAAAATGAGAAGGTATAAAAATAGAAATAAATCTAGAAGTGACCTCATGGGGAAAAGAAAAATGCAAACTCATTAGTTATAAGCACTCACCACTCTCCCCAAGGAGCGCATCTGTAGACCTCGAGTGTGCATGAAATCCGTGAGGGTGCGCCCGTCCACCGGAGACAACTCAAGGGATCCAAAATCGGCCACCAACTTTGGAAGCGCGACGTCTTCATAATAGTGACGGGCTCCGTCCATTAACTCTTCTAGTGACTGTAAGCGGAAAACCAAGGAGTGAGAAACTGACGATTATTAAAGGGACGATGAGAGGTGACGCCAGAAATTGAATGTATGGTCATTTCATCGTAAACGCAATTGTTTACGAACATACCTTGCAGGCAAGCAATGCAGCCGACTCGTTAAGACGAGCTCGAGCACAAGGAGGTATGTGTTTCAACAACTCTGCTGGTACAGAAAGCTCGGGCACTGCATTTCCGGCTTTCTGTGCAGAGTCCTCTGCACTCTGAGATTGCTCTGGTGGTGCACTTGCAGACTTAACAGTGGTCTTGCTATCGCCTCCCTTACTCTCTTTAGCAGTCGACTGCTTCCTCTCCTTCAAAATTGCTGCCTCTGACTGCAGGTGTTGCACCCAGCAAGCACCAAGCTCCCATCGCATGGATGATGGATTTCGGTCTTCTTCGCTCTCCAGAGTGGTCATGCTCTTCTGAAGTATTGAGGTAACAAGGTCCCGTGCGTTTTGGATCTGCTCAGCGTCTGCAGCCGTACGCGCACTGCCTTTCACTTTGCAGTGCAAAAGAGTGCGAAGGCTTCACAACACAAATTTCATGTGATCAGTAACATTCCAAACCACATTCAGCAACGTTAAACCAGTAATTTGGATCTCATAAGAACATTCAACTAATGATGCACTGATATTCAGCTGCGGACTGGATAGTTCTTTAGTCACCTGTTAACATTTAATGCGTTCGCCCCACCATCAGGCAGATCGTCAACATCTACGTCAGTGGATGCATTCTCTTCACCTTCCTGAACAGGCCCTGCAGCTTCAGCCAGTACAATATATCCCCGGTGGCGAACGAACACAAGCACCAAGGATGCAGTGTCCTGTAAACCAACAGAAATAAGGGATGCATTAGAGGTGAACTCACTACCATTGGAAGCCATAGAAAACTATGATACTTCCACGCGCTAGAAGACTATTCTTCTTCAAAGACGTGAAAATTTAAACTTGGCACAAAGCATTACATGGATAGTGGTGCTTTCGTTTGCAGTAACTCCCTTCAACAGATTTCTCTTAGCTAAATCCGCCTCTCCCAATTCCGGAAATTGATTAGATCCAATCTTCAACTCTGTCTTCTTAATTGTATCCGAAACATCTCTTCGTAGTGAAAATTTAATGTACCCTCTCTCTTCAGAGAATACTTCATCTTGCAGGCCACCGTCGTAGTGTTGCTCAATAATGTTGGTCGCCTGCATTAAATATTTTAATATTAGTCTCGATGTGTAGTAATGCAATTGTCACGCAGATGGATTGGGTGAAGGTCTGAATAGAGAACTATACCTCAGTCACCGCACGATCAACAAAATTACTATGCAAGAGAAACGCCTTCCGGTCTCTAATCTCACGTTCCTCCGGTGTAGAGCAAGGCATCGTGGCAAGAGTAGTAAAGTCTTGTGCCCAATTACGTACACAACTTAATTCATTCTTCCCTCTACCTCCTCCATTACCACCCCAGGCACTATCTTCAGTGGGGAGCAGAGGAAACTCCGAAGGGGCATCGGCTGCCACTGGAGGAACTACCCATGTGTTGGATCGGAAGCCATAAGGAAGATTGCCAAACTGAAAAATCGAGATAGGCAAGTCAGAAACTATTCTCTTCAATTTCATTCAACTGAGCAAGTGTTTACACGTGGGTCCCTCAAATAACAAATTGGACAGATATCGGGTCATACCCTATTACGTTCCAGAAGTGCTCTCATAAGGTCATCATAAGCCTGCAAAATAGGTTGAGAAAATCGGTTAGGAACATGTAAGATTCGGAACTTCAATATAACAAAGTCCAGGGATTCAAATCAGCGCAGCGACTCGTTCAATAAAAAGTCGGTGAAACAATCATGTTCACCTTCGAAAACGCTTTGCTGAGACTCCGGAGAAGCACAACCAGTGAATGGTCATGATAGAGCTGCTTAGTGCAGCTAGAGAAACCTTTCTCATTAACTGCTACAGTTACAAGCTTCCCATTGCAAAGTCTCACGTCGAGGACGAGGAAATTGGTTCCAAGGTTGTTTTCCGATGAACTTCTTGACGATCGCCGAATAACTGCATGCGGCAAACAATGATCAGACCCACGAAACTAACTGTGCTTTACTCCATGTAAACTTCTACAGGGCTCGAATTCAGCAATACATCACCTGTGTTCATTAAGAAAACCAAAATCTATAGTCCAACCATCACCCGCTCGGAATGAAATCAAAGTCAATAATCTTTCAAAAACATAAGTCTAGACGCGTATAGCGGGAGAAGCCACTCATAAAAATTAGGAAAACTCATAAAACTGTCTACATTTCGAGAGGAAGCACATTGGAGTCCTCGACGGCTGTAATGCGTCAAACTGTGCTCATTAAAAATCCAGAATGTACATCCCAAAAGTCACTCGCTCTGCGAAATCACAGAGGAACGAACAGTCGATCAACCATGTAGGAGCCTACTCACATTGAATTGGGGGCGTGATGTGAGAAAAGGAGAAGAATTCATAAAATTGGCCAAGCTTCGAAGGAGGGCACATTCCAGCCATGTCACCCCTTTCCGTGGCCTCCTTGGCTGCTGCCATAGCCGCCATGGCCTCGGGCTTTCCTTTCAAAATGAGCTTTTCCCGATTCAACCTGGCAGAAGCGGCATTCTCATCAATCTCAACCAGAACACCGTTGGCAGCCTTGCCAGCCTCCGAGACGCCCTCAGAAGCAGCGGATTCGTCTGCTTCCGCACTCGAGGTGCTATTGTCCTGCTCCTCTGCCCCATCCTTAGATTGGGTCTGATTATTCTTCAATTTCGATTGTTGCGAAGGCCCAAAAAAGTGCGTACATGCAACAATATCTAAAAGCCTCCTAACATGAGCCACAGCCGAGTCAAATGTATAGTCCTCTGCACAGCAATGTGACGAACAAGCGGAAATTCAATACCCATGGAACGCAATGTACGTGTACGTAATATTTCTTAACCTTTAGTTCTAACGGAAATCCTCTCCAGTGACAACCCATCCACTGCCAACATATTCAAGCCGAGTAATTTGAAAACTAAAACCTCGGAGGAAATTAGGAGAAAGACTGGACACTTTTATTTTGGACTTCCGAAGATAAGACAATGTGACACGTCGGCTTGAAAGCACCACATTCCGCACTAACCTTCGACAATGGTGAGAACACATGGCTTTAGTGCGGTGACCTCAAATGAGTCTCGCAATTTATCTCCTCGGACCTGCAGATACAAGGAAGACACATTTCGAGAAGAGGATTGTGTTAGGTGAGAGATCTACGTCCTAGCTGTAGAAACATAATCCAGATAAAAATATACGGTGTCAATTGCGAATTCTCAGATATATTCCCTTCTTGCTTGCAGCTATATCAGTACCCATGTTTTCACTCCTTGACATACCCGCTACTCTAATCACGGCCTTGCAGCGTAATTGCAAGGTGAGACCGCCAAGACAAAATTCACGTATCAGAATTTTTTAATCAATATGATTGAACTGTCCTAATGAGCCGTGACCCAGCTAAGACAGAGAATGCAGGTAGTACACAGGTTGAGGTACTTGCCTCATGCGTGAAAGAATAATTAGTAAGGTGGCAGGTTTCTACGTTCACTGCGAGCAACCGTCGTACATCAAGAAGGCGATCTGTCGAGATTGCCTGCGCAGGAAAATGATGTATGGTTCGTCATTGTCTCTACATCATTATCTTAAACCATTGCAAAATCCTGAACTCTCCGTAAATAATGAACACACGCGGACGTTGGGTCAAAGTGGGAGTTGTGTGAGCGTGAGAACGATGTGGAGTACTCACCTTCAATGTGACTTGATTTTCATCAGGAAGCACTATCTGAAAGTCCAATACAGCTGGAAGAACTGCAAAGGCACAAGTGTAACATATCGGTCAATCACAAATCTCATAAAAGTAAATGGCCTCTAATGCCATCGTGAGCGCGGATATCCGGCCTTTGTACTACATATTCCAATTTCAATACAGAATGCTTTTCCGCTATCCGTGCCTTACCCATTCGGCACCGGGGAGAGATACACACACAACCGCGGGTCCCAAAATGATAATGCGTGCACACAGGTTCCCACAAGCTTTCCCAGGACATGAGGACAACAAGTTACGGAGCAAGGAACAGAATCAATTCTCACTTTTTTCCTCCCTCTTCTTCTTCTCTCCCTTAACCTTCCCGACTTTAGCTTTTCCGGTCCTTGGAGCCATTCTATTCGCGCAAGGGGGAGGGGGGCTTAGTCGAGATTCCCAAGTGCTACCGCGGCAACAGTCCCTCAATGCGCACTTGGGAAAAACCTCGCCAAAACCTCGAAACTCACACCAATTCTCCGGAAACGAGGTGCATGAGGACAGTCACAAAGCTGCGACCAGTCCACAGCGAAACCAAAAAAAAACACGACACAGCTGCCACACGCCCAACTCAAATTAATCCTCCCGCAATGACCCAACCACGGCAGCGACAATCAACTCCGGTCCAGCACCACTTCCGGAATTCCAAAGCTCGTCTCGCGACCAAAGCATTCCCAACCACCGAATTCCCCCACCAGAACTCTCTCCCCAAGTATCCACACCCCTCGCTGCTGATGTCTGTTTCGAACTTATCTCGCTTGCTCTCCCCGCCCCCCAGCTACGAGAGCAGTTGAAACAAATTTTCTTTAAAGACCCACACCAGCAGCTGGAACTAGAAAACACCCTCAATCCAGCAAGCGCAAAAGGTTATCATGTAGACCCCCTAGCGCTTCCGCTCAGTCCAGCAGAGGTGGGGGGTGCTAGCGGATTGGGGTGAGCGGATGTAATGAGATGAGACTGAACGAGAAATCGTCTTCCCGCAAATCCAATCCGTCCTCGCCACTGTTCTCAATCCACGCCGGAGACCAGCCTTCATCGTTTCGCAATCGTTGCCGGTGTATCCACCCCTCGGGCTCATGTTACACCCGCGAAGATTTGCATGAATGCCACTCAAGGCGGGAGCGGCGATTCAGAACAAATGCCCGTCCCCGCGCGCACCCCATACCACCCCACCCCACCATTCCGAGAGAGCTTTATCCGTTCCTTTGTGGTGAGAACCCGAGCCCCGAGTAGAGTCCTTGGCCGCGAGCCGGATAAGGAGCCGCTCGATCAGCGATGGGCGTTTCCACCTCTCATCTGATTGCAGATAACCCAATTATTCTTCACCACATTGGACTGCTCTACCAGGAGCTTCCCCGTACTCAAAGCGCCGAATCCTGATTGCTCAGATGGCGTCACGGCATTCATCTGCATCTCGCTACACTCTCCTCCCCTCCGCTTCACCGCCTGCATCCCCTTGTCTCCCATGCACGAATTGAGAGCGTCTTCACCACTTTTTTCCCCGTGTCCACTTCCTTTAACTCCCAACCGTTTGTTGCTGTTCCTGCCCACTGCTATTGTCATTGCTGATTTTGTTACTGTTTGTTATTGTTGTGGTTGATGTTGTTTTTCTTCTTCTTCCAGCTTCGCAGTATCGCAATCGCGCTGCGTCTCATTCGTGGCTGGTCTAATTATATTTCCCTCTCTCCGGTCGCGATAGGGTGGCAAATATCTGGACGCTGGATGCCGCCGCTGCCACGCCGCCTCCTTCCCCGGTATTAGGGCCCTGGATGATAACCCCTCATCACCGCTCCCGTTCTGTCGGTCTGCCACAGCCCGGCCCGGCCTCCGTCGCTCGCGCTAATCTCGCAAATCTTGCTTTTTCATCCGCATCCATTTCGGTCCCTGAATAGAGCTTCTTGAATAGCTGATTATTCGATGAAGTTTTGGAGTGCGAAAGCATTCTTCCAAAAGTGGTTCGAAGAGGATATTATACTTGGTGCGCGTCTTCTTATTTGTTACAAATATTGAATGAGACAAATTTTTGGAGTACAAAACGGTGCGAGAAGTAATTTGTTCTATGTTTTCTATGTTGTAAGATTGCAGTTCACAACGTGAAATTGGTATTTTTTGGAAGTTATATTCAAAATTTCACATGTTAAACAGAAGCAACGAAGCTATGTAACACATAACAGATGTGTGTTTTGTAATTTACATGCACATAATTTAAGAAAATTAAATTGTAACAAGTTTATACTTCAGATATTCTACATTAGATAGTTCTCTTATTAGAATTAAAATAAATTTGTTTATATGTATGTATGTATGTATGTATGTATGTATGTATATGTATGTATGTATGTATTTTTTAACTAAAATAATTTAATTTAATAAAATAGTACTTTTTAATAACATGATGTTTATAATTTCAAATACATATATTCTTTTTAGCTAGAATACTAAATTTTTTGTATGCTTATTTTAGTGATCAATTGAAAAAAAAAAACAAAAAAACAAAAAAACAAAAAAAACAAACAAACTTATTATAAGAGATACATGTTGAAATTGAATGAATTTAAGAGTAACTATTGTTGTAAAGGATGTTGGTAAGTTAGTAAGAATTATAAATATTCATTAATTTAATAAATCATTAATCGAATTCGTGCACAATCTCCAAAGTAACTTTTTAATACAATATGCAATTACTTTATTTATTTGTAAGGAAAGAAAGTTATAATAGTTAAATCTTAATACATTTTTTAAAATTGTAATTTTTACATACAGCAATTGGCCATGTTGCAACAGATCATATGGTTATGTATTTTGTTTTTGTGTGATTTCTTCAATTTTAATTTAGAATATTGAAGTCAAACTCAGAGCACAAAATCAAAATTAAACACAATATTTTGACATTGATTAGATTTTTGAATTGCAATAGAATAATTATCTACTAATTTTTTCTTGTATGTTATAGTTTCTTGGCATAGCTTGATATATTTTTTTTTTAAGTTGTCCATTTGTATTATGTAGCCTCTTCTTTTAGTTCTTAGATTGTATGATTTATTTGAAAAAGAAAAAGAAAAAACAAAACAAAACAAGATTATCCAACATCAAGAATCAATACTATAATTAGACTAAAATGATTGTTGATCCCTTTTAATGTGTTGTATCAATTGCTAATTTATTCATTTATTATGTCATGTGTTTACTAATCTTAAATTGCAAACCAACATGTAACTTTTTAACAAATAAAATAAAATATTGATACTTTGTATTGGTAACTTATTTTAAGTTATGTATTTGATTTTAAAATATTTTGGATCCTAGATTATAATTATCTATTAAAAACACACACACACACACACACATATATATATATATATATATATATATATATATATATAATTAAATATGAGGCTAATTAAATGTTATATCAATTTATATTTTTAATAGAGAAACATTATAATTCTTAAATTTGATAACAAAATTAGAGATGAAATAATAATAATAAAAAAAAAGCACACAGTTTGTGACTGCTTTTTTCTTAAAATATTCACTGTCTCTTTCTCAACCACCAGCCTTTCTCACAGTAAAAAATAAAATAAAATAAAATAAAATGTGGAAAAAAAAGAGGAATGTTATTAGTTAGTTGTGTATGAGGAGGTCACTTTGTGTGTAGCAATATCAATTGGGGATGCAGAGTTAACAATTCTCAATATGCTAGTTTGTAAACAGGGCAATAATCAGGCATTGTCTCTTTACTTCTTCAATCCTCGAAGCTTTTAGAATTTCTCAGAGTAAGCTTTTAGGGTTTTGGAGAGTTAGCTTTTAGGGTTTAGCTCTCGCACACGAGGGCGCTGTTGTCGCTGCCCGTCGGGTGAGCTCGAGCTCGTTGTCGACGAGCGTGCTTGCTTGCTTGCTCTCCTGCAACCAGCTATCGCCATGGCGCAATACGACCTCACAGCCGCTGTGGCGCCATTCTTGGACCGGCACCTCGTGTTCCCTTTGCTGGAATTTCTTCAGGAAAATCAGTTATACAGCGATGACCAAATCCTGAAGGCCAAAATCGAGCTGCTGGCGAAGACCAACATGGTCGACTACGCTATGGATATCCACAAGAGCCTCTACCACACCGAAGACGTCCCACAAGGTCTGAAATGGCGGTGATGTAATTTTCCAAATTGGTCTTGCATTTCAATTCCTAGCAAAATTAGCTTACTTGGTTGCATCTGAGCCACTGTTCTTTCATGGAGGTGAGTACGTGTCTGATTGCTTTCACCAGACTAAATTTTAGGGAATTCCGATAATTAGAATATGTTTTGCGTAAAGCCCATTTCTGACAATCTATTTTTGAAGTTTTCCAGATATGGTGGACAGGAGAGCAGAGGTTGTTGGTCGGCTGAAGGTGCTGGAAGAATCAGCGGCGCCTCTAATCAGCTTCTTACAGAACCCAGCTCTTGTTCAAGAGCTGCGATCTGATCAGCAGTACAATTTGCAGATGTTACAGGAACGGTACCAGGTTAGCTCCACATCTGTAAGCTCTGGGGGTCCTCGGGTAGTCAGTATGCAGTTACTAGGCCGTTGCATCTGATGACTCACCGGCACCTATTCTATAGTAAGGTTCAAGTTGGGTTTGTGCGTCATGGGACGTTAAATAGCTTGGAATGGTCTTCTGTCAAATTTCGCTGACACCGCAGAGTTGTTTAACAAGAACAGCTTTGGGAATCCTAGTTCTGTTCTCTAGTAATATCTTTTGTATCCATTTTGTTAGTGCTATTGTTCTGTCGCTGATCCTATGCAAATCGACCACCTTATGACATCGCATTTCCATGCCTTGCCATCTGCTCCGATATGTGACTTTGGAGGTCTGACTACATCGTATGAATTTCTTCTCTTTGTAGATCGGTTCTGATCAAATTGAGGCTCTTTACCAGTATGCGAAGTTCCAGTTTGAGTGTGGAAACTATTCAGGTGCCTCTGACTACCTCTATCAGTATCGCACACTTTGCACCAACAGCGAACGCAGCATTAGTGCCCTCTGGGGTAAGCTTGCTTGTGAGATATTGATGCAAAATTGGGACGTGGCAACGGAGGAGGTGAATCGGTTGAAGGAGACCATTGACTCCAAGGTAGGGTCTTGGCATTACAATTGTTGCATCCGTGAATTCGAAATATTTATTTCTGATTTTCTTAACTTTCAACTCTTGATACCACTACTGTCTTCTTTACACTTCAAATTAGTGACAGATTCTACAAGAATTTGTAATCATGGCTCAATTATAAGAGGTCTGTTTTGTGTTGGAGATCCATACATGTACAGGTCATTGAAACGTTCGATCTTATATGTCTAGACTTTGTACGATACAGAGTTTTGCTTCCCCGCTCAGTCAGTTGCAACAACGGACTTGGTTAATGCACTGGAGTCTTTTTATCTTCTTCAATCATGACAACGGAAAGAATGGTATCATTGATCTTTTCTTTTCTGAAAGGTATGTCGTGCTGTTTTGTTGGGTTTTGCCTTTTGGACTTTGTTATTTCTGCTATCGTACCAAACACAGTTTGAACATTCAGTATACGGATGATTGCGTTCACTGAGGGTTATGCCATTTCATGAATTTGATCAGTAATTGGGTTAGTCATATTTACTCGCGGAAGATCTATCTTGATTCGACTTCTTTTGTACAACTAAGTTTCAATTTCTCTCGCAGATACTTGAACGCTATCCAGACAAATGCGCATCATTTGTTGCGCTACTTGGTTACAGCTGTAATAGTTAACAAAAGGAGGAGGAACGTTATCAAGGAGTTGATCAAGGTTATCCAACAGGAGCGCTATACTTACAGCGACCCCGTAACGGAATTTCTGGAATGCTTGTACGTAAATTATGACTTTGAAGGAGCACAGCAGAAGCTTCGTGAATGTGAAGAGGTACTACTGCGACAGTGTATCATGTAAATCTACTACATCGTGAATCTACTGTATTTTTCGATGAGGTGATTGGATTGGGTTATTCTTGTTAAGTCTTATTGTTATTCCAGGAGATTGTGGCTGCACAGAAGAAGTAATATTCTGCACTTTCGTGACCTTTATTTTGGAACAATGTATTTACAAGAGATTGTTCTTTGTGCAGGTTATTGTGAGCGACTTTTTCTTGGGCAAACAATTATCGGAGAATGGCTTTGTAACCATTCCATTGCGGGACGAATTCATGGAAAATGCCCGCCTTTTCATTTTTGAGACATACTGTCGCATCCACCAGTGCATTGACATAGGAATGCTCTCTCAAAAATTGAATATGAACTATGATGATGCCGCAAGATGGATTGCGAATCTTATTCGCAATGCTCGGTTGGATGCCAAGATCGATTCGAAGATGGGCACTGTTGTTATGGGCACTCAATCTCCGAATATGTACGTGATTTTTTTACCCATTTGAGAGCATTGCGTTCATTCTTCGATCCGTGATTTTTTGGTAGAATGTTTTCGGTAGGGCTCTGCAGGGATGTTATCTTTCAAACTAAGTTAGCTTTTTGAGACGTGTTCAGCTGTTTTAACGAGATTTTTGCAAGCATTGCTTTGAATCTGTAGAAGTTTGGGGGATTATGTGCGCCCTACTTGTGATCTTACGAATTCTTCTTTCATGTATTAGATACGAACAAATCATTGAGAAGACGAAGGTTCTTGGCCAGCGAAGTTATGCTCTCACCAGTAATTTGATCCTGACATCTGCGGCTGTTACGGCTTCGGCTGCTCAGTAACTAAGTCAGCTTAACGGTAAACTATGTCACAGTTTTCAGCATTGAGTACCATATTTGTGTGCGAGCTACCTCAACATGTCAAAACTTGATTATTCTTGCGAATTTAATATTATTTACTCGCACTGAAAGGGTGGAACTAACTATTATATGTTTAGTTGCTGTGTGATTTATGGAAGAGATTGGAAACTTTTTTAAATATCTGACCTTGTTTGTTAATAATCACATTTTGTTTGCAGACTTAAGGCGAGCCAGAGAGGAGTGCTGCTCGGATTTTCGTAGGCTTAATTCTACCGGTGAATCTACAAATAGTCATGGTACTGTGCAAAAATTGCATTCATAAGGTTTGAAATACAATGAACGATACTACATGATGTACAGATGTATTTTAAGATGATATTCTCAAATGTGGACATTTATCTAACATCAACACAGTTAGAAATGCGGATATTCTATGTATCTATCAATTTGAAAAAAATCATAAACGATACGCGCAGTTGAGAAATATCACTCTCAAGATATTGCTTCATCTAAATTGCTAACTATCTTAACCTTAAGAAGAAATTAGGTTTCATTAGCTACTCAAACTCGAACAAACTTTTTCGATCAATATTTTTGTTATTGTAAAGTTTCAGCAAATTGTTTACTCTTCGACCATTCATGCCGGTAACCTCTGCTCCTTGCAAGGTCCATATCAAATATTAAATCATAAAAATGATCCAGCAGTTCATGTAATAAACTGAACTGAATGGCACAGAGTCAAATCAATGCCCAAAAGTACAAAAAACTAGGTGCCTAAACAGAGATCAGAAGGGCTCGAATCCAAAACTGAAAATGGGACTAATTGGGATAGATTGAAAATCCCTCAAACCTCAACTGTTCTAAACGATGCAGTTGGGCAGGCTCAAGGCCTTCATCACCAACATGCAAGATGAATATAAATATTCAAAAAAGGATTCAGTAGGATAACGCTGCGGCAGGGCCATCAGGAACCATGGGGATCAGTAATTAAATGGATTGATAAGGGTCTAGTGTAATTGAATGAAAGGAATGTCAGTTACAACGGAGGGTAGAAGTAAGAGCTCACTGCAAAAAACAAAAACAAAAAGCCTCCAACGGTTGCAACAGTACGTTGTGATATTTTCAATGCCAGAAGTCGTCCTCCCACCACAGCAACAGAAGTACAAATCGAGTGCCCCACAATTGCACCGAGCGTCACTCCATAAGGGTTTTTGTGTGCTCCCAGCTGCAGCACAGGAAATCGCTCATATACAAGGACTTTCTGGTTATTGAGCAGCATGCCATAGCATGACCCAACAATTACTAAAAGTAGAGGAGCGACAATAAAATAAATACAGAACGAGACAAGTCTTGATGAAAAGAACAAAGATGCCAGAAGAGAGAACACGTACGGCAATGGTTGCAATTTGACTCCTATCTCCCCACTCTGCCAAAAAGGTCAAAATGAATGACTGCATGCGTCCACAGAGCCAGTATTAGCAATTTCTGGGTGCTGCATATTGTTAGTGGATTACGATAGAAAATAACTCGAGTCTGTCATTATACAAATGCATATTGCAGACATAAACTTAAGCTCATTAATGCCCACGTTATGGAAGCTATGCGTGAGGTAATTCAATAAGCTTCTTTATTCACACATTAAAAACCATCTGTAGTGAAGACAGACCTCAAGATAAACAGGGGTACAAAATCGAGAGAAAATGCGACGAACTACATTCTTCTTCTTTGGACCTCCTTCTAGCTTTTCCTCAACCTGCACCGATATTCACTTACAACGGCTATATAAGAATCAGTAAACCAACTTGTCACTAACTAGGGTGAAAACAGGTTTCTAGTTGTGCTATGCCATGCCTCAAATCATCACATTACCTCCCATTATCTCACACTAATTATCAGTGAAAAAATTACTTCGAACTCACACATATACAAGAAGGGTAAATCAAGCATGAAAAAGATGTAGGACATTTCTCACCTCCTCAAGCTCCTTCTGAGGAGTGCTATCAGCTGTATATGCAATGAATAGAAGCCGGAACCCAAAAAAGGTGTAAAGTCCTATCACCAATGAAGTTTAACAAGTTACATAAATATCACTAACAGCAGTACTAAACTAGTGCACAGTCCTTTGCAACGAGACGTCAGGTGCTGCTGCATCCACCAAATTCACAACCACCAACACGATGCAAATACGACTGAAAAGCGTAAAGCAAAGAACCTGTTGCAAAATGGTTGACTAGATTTTTGTTGATCAGATTAGGCACAATCACACCGAGTCCAGTTGATAAAACCTGTCTTATGTCACCATTAACGATGTGCGTGAATACTTGGGCGTCTAGAAACAAATGAGTGGAAATGACTCTTCCTCAATCCATAGTCATATGGTTGTGCAATGTAGATGATTCATCGGGTCTTTCAAAGATGAGACATTGGTAGGCCTTTACTTGAGTCCAACTTGAACACAAAACCTGATAAAACTTAACATTCTTCCAAACGCTGAGATCATGATGTCCATGACCTTCTGAGCTACAAGTTGTTGAGTACTTACAGTCATGATGATTAGAGCTGACAACGCTCCAGAGAGTACAACAGCCCGGGGATGTCTCATCGCCATCAGCGCAGCAATAATAAAGGTCTCATCGCCGATCTGGGAAAAAGGTGGCAGGCGTTACATGCAGATCAATTGCACCGTACCCAGAAAGCCATGATCGTTACAATCGAAATGGAGCCAGCCATTTCAAATTTTTCACAGAAAAGGACTGGCAGTTTATGATAGCATTGATATTTACAGTTACCTCACTGACTAAGATCATGGAAAGACTAGTGAATGTTGCATCCGTAAATCCATTGCCACTAACTGCTGCGGCAACCTCATCACCTCCAGCTTCTCTTACAACAGCTTCCCTCTTGGAAAAGACATCATTTTTGTCCATTAATAACTGCACACACCAAAATATGAATTGGGGAGCGATCCCCATTACTTTCTCAAAACCAGATCCATTAACAAAGCACGCCTAATTAAATTGTTGTTTTAAAGCAAGGTAAGCTGCCACTGACCTATGTTCAAAAGATTTATAGGTATGCAAATAATGAAGTTTAATCGCATGAAGTAAATGACAGACACATGGTAAAACAAGCACCAGAATATATGCTTCAATAAGGCAAGAGCTTATTATTAATCTTTCTCTTTACTAGAACTGAACCTCGTACACATACCCAAACTTCCTAACTTTTTCCTTAATTTTCTTAATTTTATAGATGAGGCGCATATTTGCCATGCAAAGCTCTAGTAATTAGCCTCTCCCAAGTTCAGTAAGACGAAGATCAATACCCAGCACAAGCCTTATTCCCGGCTGCACACATCACGGCATCTCACAACTTACAAAAGGTAGGAAGCGGCAGAATGCTCGTAAGCTAAGGATCGACTAAACATCCAGTGCGAGTGGAAAAATCCAACTCTAAAGGCATCACAACCAGGGACGATCACCACATTCATGAGTATATCAATATTGAAGAACTCGTTCCAGAGGATGAAGACAAAAATGTTGACTAACCTACGGCACGCTCAAACCTGAACAAAACCCATGAGAATAGAGAATGCCATAAAGTGGTGCAAGTTAACAAGACAAATCACTATCTCTTCAGAGAATTGACAGCAAAAGACATACTTTATTGCGACCCCAAGTGGTGTCGACACTCTCAGAAACAGCGAGGGCTCCTTCCACACCATTTTCCAGCTGCAAACACCATCAGCACTGCTGATCAACCTATTATTCCCCAGATCTCCACCCACTCTAAGCCAACACCATGTAAAAAACCCCAGCATTCTCTGTAAACCCATAATGACGAACTAATGCAACTTAGTACCTGAAAAAATCCCAAAACTGGAAACAGCACATATCTTCCACGTTCAACAAAGATCTCACAGCCCCTTAATATTGCTAAAACCAAAAACCCCGAAAAACCCCGAAATGTAAAAAACAGAAGTCGAGGTCAATGGCTACCTTCTGTGCATGTAAACAAGGCAGTAAGAGCAGACAGACCACCAGGCGCATGGCGTACAAGGACGCCATGGCCAGATCTGAGTGTTAAAGACTCGGCTCCTGCGGCAAACAACAAAAAAGAAAAGAAAAAAAAAAGAAAAAAAGAAAAAACCGCTCTCGAGCAACGTCTCCTTTTCTACGCTCTACTTCAGCGTTTCTCCTCGTAGCCAGACTCGGAAACTCGAATCGAGGAACTACGAGAGGGCCGCAGCAGCACTTCCAAATGAATGCGTCGCGAACAGCGGAGATGGGGCGCGAGTGCGCAATTGGGGTGCAAAATGCGGAACAGGATTGGAGTCAGCGACGTGAGGCCCCTCTTCCTTTTCCTCCTCCCTCCCCGCCTTATTGTCCAGCTCGGCTTCCAACTCAGCTCTCCTGACCCCTTTGCAATCCTAGCTGGACCCTCTCAGTCCTAGCTGGATTTCCCACCCCTCTGGTCCTAATTGAATTCTCCCACCCCTTTGCGATCCAAGTTGCATTCCCCCACTCCTTTGCGGTTTTAGTTGGAGCTTTAGGTCGCTTTGCTATCATGATTGGAACATCAGCTTCTCCAATTTAATGCTATTTGAAAGATTTTAAATAATGGATATTTGATAATAAAAGATACTTTGATTTATTTTTATTTTTATTTTTATTATTGTAGTTGTAAAATAGAAATTCATTTGATTACTTATTTGTGTAATTGTAAGATATAATTTTTAGAAGAAAAGAAACAACCATAAAAAAGAAGGTAGTGTTGTGTGGCATGATTTTAAAATTTGGAAATATTATGAATATTTAGATATAGAGAATTTATCTTGAATTTATTGGCCAAGTTCTAATAAATGATTTGTCCTTAATATGAAGGATAAATAGATATAAAAATAATAATAAAAAAAATTGTATAAACAAGAAGCTTTTATATTTAAGTAGATTCATATACAAATCTTTCTATGGCATCTGTAAATCTCTTAATAGCCTTTGCTATGCCAATCCACAAATAACCAAATGCCAACAAGTGAGATTCTCAATAACTTTATAGAAAATCCATAATTTCTTTTGAAAGACTTATCTATGTATTCTATGTATCAAAAAATTATTATAGCTCTATATATCCATCTTTTATACCTCCACAAATTCTTGCTTCCTAAAAACCCATAGATATGCATAAAATGATCAAATTCTAAAAAAAAATCCTTATTTACTTGCAAAAGTTTTTTTTTTTTTTTTTTTTTTTTTTTTTTTTTTTCAAACTTTAGGATCTCATATCTTTTAATTCAAATTTTTAATTTTTCTCATATTTTTGCACAATGTAGCATATACTTTCAAGCTTTACCTCAAAAAAAACAATTGATAGTAGATTCACTTCTAATCATTTGGCATCTTGAAAATCCTAGCAAATGCTCTAAATCCTAATTTATAAACACTTGAGTATTATTTTCTTCATATCTCAAAAATTCAAAATCCAAATGCCACCAAAAATTTTATGTAGTTCTTTAACATATTACATATTCTTAAAAAAATAAAAAAATGAATCAAAACCTTATTAAAATACTAGATATAGCTCAAAATACAAATACTAATTAATCAAGTAACTTACTACCCTCAATTCCAAATGCTGATTTCAACACTCAATATCTTATTTATCCTAACTTAGATTTTATCAAGCCCCATATATAAAATATAGTTAAAAATATAAAAATTTCCTTCATTGCTTTCTATATACATGTGTTATGTCCCAAATAATGGCTATAGATACAAAATCAACACCTTGACTCTGAGTGCATATTTTTCTTTTACAAAAACTCAAAATTATTCTATTTTTGTACCAAATTCATACTCAAAACCATAAACTTACCAAATTAAGCCATTGATATTTGAAGGATTCAAAAAGAATAATCTTAATTCTTAATAAGGCTTAGACAACCTTCTTAAAGACCATTGGATATGACTTTTGGCTAATAAAAATAGAAATTTTTATTATCCATCTCAATTCATTCATGTAGATGGCTAAATTATGCTTTTTGATACTAAGACCTCTTTTTAATCTTTTTTTTAATATGATTTATGTAGTATGTATTCTAAACACCAAATAAAAGAAACATTATTAGAGAGAAGAAGCATTAATAAGACTATTTCATTGAAAGTTACTCAAAATAAACAATATGTTATTATTTACTTATAATCTTCAATTATTCAATGAAGCCATCAATTAAGTTGTGAAGTGCATTTATTGATTTTTTCAACAATACAATAAGATAAACACATATTGTCAATATTACGCCTTTATTTTGTATTTTCTACATCTCCTTATTATAACAAAATTTTAATAGCAAAAGATATGTATATTGATGCAATTTTCTTCAAATTCCTATTTGATGAAGAAAAGAAGAGTATAAGAGAACACAACATATGTTTGTACTATAGAAAACTTGTTTGTAAGATTGATAATTTCTACAAAAAGAGTTAGCATACTTATCAAATGAGGAGTGTGGTCACATCATACAATACTTTGAAAAAAAACAATGATGTCTAGCCACAAAAAAGAGCATGTGATATTATATTGTAACATGACTATTTGGTAGTAGAAAGAAGAAAATATCATACTATAGAAGAACTTATTTTAAATTATGGTAGCAAATTACCTTAGAAATATAGATAATAATTAAGAATATAGTAAAATTAATAAGTATTAATGTTTTTTTTTTTTTTTTTTTTTTTGTAAAAATAAATTTTATTTATTTTTTAAGAACATAAATAAAGTAAAATAAGATATATTAGCAAAAATAGTATTATAAGAAATTTTAGATAGAAATAAAGAGTAGCAATAAAAAAATTACTTAGATAAATCTTAGATTGATATCTATAGAAGGCCGGTTATAAACTAGGGTCAAAACCGGACTTGAGGGATGAAACCACATTCCTACAACAAAAAAATTTTATTTTATTTTTTTATTTTATTTTTTGAAAAAAGTATAGATTTCATAAGAAAACTTGATAAGATTTTATAAATATTGATTTTGAGGGATTTGAATGCATATTTACTTTGTAAGAACTTCAAAAAGTTTGGATTGTTTTTAATGACTTGGTTTTGTATTGAATAAAAAGTAAGTTACATTTTCCTCAATTGTGTGAGTTTTATAGTAGATCCATAGATGATTTTTTACAGCTTTTTGAATGTAGTTGTAATAAATATGGAATATGAATTTAAGTTCAATTAGATAGTAAAATAAAAAGTAATTAGGGTCCAAGTGAGTTAGGATCTTAGAAATTAGGTTTTGAAAGTCAATGAGGATTGTTTAGATATTAAGAAAGATGTCAATTGGATTAAAATATTTTTTCAATGTTTTGTTGGTTGACAGTTTTTTACATTCATACCAATTTTGAAAACAATTCAATGGTTTAAGAGAGAGATATTCAAGATATTGAAGGTTTACATTGAGATTGGAGAAAAAAAACGGCCTACATCTAATCAAAGCTTGACTCATTTCTTTTAATTTGTATATTAGATTTTCTTGAAAATTTGTGTATTTTTCTATGTTTAATACTTTGAAATGTGTAAGAAAGTTGAATTAACAAAAATAATAAGTGTAAAATTTATTGAGGTTTAAAATCTATCGTGGTATTTACCTAGGATTTGACTAGGATTTTTAGGATTTCTTTTGTCCTTCTTTAGAATTTTTTTATTATTTTTTTAAGATACCTTAATTTTTTATTTTTTACTATTATTTATTTGGGATATTTTTTCTTCAAGATTTATATTCTATTTCTTTAGGATTATTTGTGATTTCCTTAGAATTTAATTATAATTCTTGATTATGATTGTTTAAGGTTTACTTTAAGTTGAATATAATGTAATAAGTTTTTTTAGATTATTTAAATTTTTTAAGAAGTTTTTAAAAACCTTATGCATTTTTTTTGGTTTTAATCAAACTTTAAAGTAAGATAAAATTCTTCTACACTTAGATGCCTAATGCATTCTTAAGCTAATTTTTACTTAACATGATAGTGGCTCAATTCTTCTACTCCACAAATCAAATAAGATCTTGTATTATCATCTAATCCTTCTTGTTGTTTTATCATGTTGATATGTTTGTATGCTCAAAAACTCAAAATTATTTCTTTGTAGATTTATAAAACTTTGCTTTCTTTAATGACTTAGAATATTTTTAAATCCATAAAATTTTATAATCAAGAAATTCAATGTTGTCTATATAGAGGTCATAGATGGTCGACCTTTATACTCTAAAATCATATTCATGACACTAGTCTATTAGACGTAATATCAGAAAACCATAGTAGTTGAGTTATATTTAATATCATTTGGTTTTAATCTAATTCTAATATTTTAGACTTTCTTTATTGAAAAGATATAATCTTTGTAAAAATTGAATATTTTGTAAAATAAATTCTTTTAAAATATTACAACCTATTACCACTAAAAATTTTAAAAAATTCCATATATCTTATAGATCTAAAAGAATATAGATTTATTTTACTAAAGCCAAAGTTTTTATGAGAGAAATCAAGAAAGATACTTCTTTTGTTGTTTATGCAATTCTAATATCTGAAGTGGCAAGTAGTCCAACAACCCTTTTTTAAAAAATATAAAGAATTTAAAGATGTATTTGAAATGATAAATAAAAATATCTTATTAAAATATTTTCTATTTAATTGTGCTATAGATTTTTAAGATGACACACAATCATCTTTTGGTTCAATTTATAACTTATCACAAAACTAGTTTATAACATTGAAAGAGTATAAAAATAAGAATTTAGCAAATAATTTTATTTTCCATTTCAAATCTCCTACTAGTGTATCTATAATCTTTGTAAAGAAAAAGCATGGATCTTTGCAAAAGTGCATTAACTACCACAATATCAACAAAGTAATAATAATAAAAATTATTCTTTATCATTGATATTTGGACTTTTTGACCAATTGGATGAAATTTAGATCTACATCAAAGTAGATCTCTATAAAGTTTATAATCTAGTATGCATCAAAAAAGATATATAAACTTTAAATACAATGCCATGCCTTTAGACCTTACAAATGCACTAGCTATTTTCTAAAGTTTCATAACGAATGTATTTTGTGAATTCTTTGATGACTTTGTTATGTGCTATTTGGACAACATTTGATTTGGACTTATTTCAACTTACACAATCATTTGAAAAAGATTGAATATATTTAATTGAAATAATTAGATGCTTTATGATTAAAAATAGAAAGTACTAAAAAAATTAAAAAATAGAAAATAAAGTAATCATATATACATTTATTTCTATAAAACTATAGAACTTATGTTATTAAG